TAGGAGTAGTACGTACGTTACGTTACGTTACGTACGTAGTAAGTAAGTAAAGGTAAGGAAGGAAGAACGACGACGACGTACGTACGTACGTACGTAGAGAGAGAGAGAGAGAGAGAGAGAGAGAGAGAGTTTGGAAAAGCCCGTCCATGAGTTTCTTTCCAGGACAAAGAAATAAAGGAAACCCAAATAAAGCTCAAAGGGGTACTAATGGTGGGTTCCAGACCTCTTACATCTAATGGGGGGTCCTAGAAAATGCTATGGCCATTAGTCTTCTAATGAAGCTGTGAGCATGTGGCTTTCACAACACATTCTGCAATTTTGAGGTCCCATGGTTATGCGGTTTCCTATGGTTACTACTTTGGGTTCTTTAGAGAACCCTAATTCCTGTTAGTTTTTACCTGGAAATAGAGTGATTAGTTTTTGTGGAACGAGAGTGGTTAGGTTTTGCAAGTTGATTATTTATGGGGCATCGAATCTTTCTTTCTCTCTCTAGAGAGAAAATGGGGTCATGGATAAAGGGTTTAGGATTGCTGGAAACTGGTGGAAAGTCTCTGGAAAAGGTTATAGCAGCAGACTCATGAGAGATTTGCTGATTAAGGTGTGGCAGATATAGGGGTTTTGGGGAGAGTGTTGGTGAAGTCGCTGACTTGGGGTTGGATGGAAGGTGCGGTTAATGAAAAGATTAGGAAAATATTTTTAAAATTTTTTCAGTTTGCACTTTAAAAACTTGCAATCTTTTTGGCTAATGAGTTTTTTTTCTTTTTTTTCTAATTGCCATCCAAACTAGCCCTTAAGCGTGCTAGAAAGTAGAAAAGGCAGATTGACCTCCAGCAAGGAAAAAGGAACCCACCCAAGCCAGATGATTAGCTCTACAGTCAATGCCTATTGACAAACAAATTAAAGAAATTAATTTACTACTGACCCTTGATTATTGTGTAGGAACTGCTCTCGATCATCTAATAACAAAATTACATCATATAGGTCCTCAAATTTTTCTCCAGGACTGCATGGTGGCACTGCTAAGGCATTTCCACAAGAACCTTGTGCATCACCAACCACTGCCTGATACATGAAAAATTAAATAGTTGTTACCAATAATAAACCTCATTAATGCATGTTGTTAATCACATTTCACAGAAATAGAATTTCATAGTGAAGAAAATGTACACAGTTCACAATAGTACATACAGAAGATGTGCAAGCCCTCAAACCGGAAGTCCCAAGACTTGATTCATTAGAACAACGAGGTTGTGTACGTTTAGATAACAAAGACACCGGACCTGCACAGCGTTAGCAGGAGTTATTAAAAATTTGCAAATTATGAAGTTTACAGAATAAACATGCCTCTATTATGCAATGGGTTCAAAATATTTCTTCAAAGGCTACCAGTATCTCCAGAGTCAGAAGCATCTGAAAGATCATGAATCTCTATGCTAATCTTTTGGGTGGGTTCCGCAAGCAATGCATCGACCCGCATTTTTAAGTGATGGCCAAAAGTGCAAGTCCTAAGTGATGATACATCTTTATCTCCCACCATTTGTGATGCTTCTGAAGAAGTTAGATGAGCATCCTTATCAGAATACTCCATGGATGTCATCTGTATAAAATGAACAAAAAGTCTAAAAGGTCACAGAGAAGTTCACAACAGCAATGGAAACTACCAAAGTATGACTTACTCTGCAGATTTTGATAAGAAACTTTTCAGTTACCCAAAAACAACACACACACACACACACATGCACTAGTGTGTGTGTTTTTTGTGTGTGTGGTGGGGGGGGAATAATATAATTTTAACTGACTTAAATTGTAGCGTAAGCCACTTTGAAAAAGTAAAGGCATGTTAGATCACCCCCGACCACACACACACACACATACACATACTCACATGCACAGATGCGAATGCACACACACATTTGTTTTTTTGCTGTTCAGTTTCTAGATCTAATGTCACAAATAAACTTCAAAGCAACCTACCATCTCAGATAACTCCAATGATGCAGATACTGATTTTCTCTTGCTAAGCTTTTTGTTAATATCAGACACCAACATCTCTTCTCCATTTGCGCCAGACTTATCCGGTTTCTTAGCCAAAGGTATATCACAATCACGAAGCCCAGACCTCTGGAGGCATTCTCGGGCAGTTTCTTGACCCTCTTGAGATAACATATACCTGCAAACAGAACAAGGAAATCAACCAAAATGGAAAGAAGAAGAATTAAATCGTTTGATTAAGACTAACAATTATTCAGACAGACAGCCACAAAGTTTGTTCATTGCACAAAGTTAGAAACCACTAACCAGCATTGAAATAGACATAGTAAGATAGTTGAAGAAATATTAGGAAGTTGAAGCATAGAAAACAAATCAAATCAAATGATTTTAGAAAGAGTCATATGAAAAACAAAGGAAATAGTAAATATCTAGTGGGTAAACTAATAAATATACAACTTCACAAAATCAAGTAAATGATTTTATATTCTGTTTGTTCTTTTTTATTATGCTCGCTGATCTGGCAGATCTAGATTGCCATTTTGGCTGATCTAGATTGGGACAGGTGGGTGGACAATCCACCCTACCGATCCGTTTTTGAAAACACTGGCATGGAGGATAGAATTATTTACTAAATTTCGCACACACACACACATGCACACTCACATGTAGGCAAATAATGCACAACATTTTTACAATAAGTTTAACTTTGTAATATTGTAGAAATAAGTTGTGTTTTTTTCATTAACAATGTTATAAATACATGCATTGTGTTTTTTTTGATGGAAAATTGTTTCATGCAGGCTGGACCGCATTTCTACAATATGTGGTCCTAAGGTATAAAGCATCCATCTTAAAAATGGATGCAAATAGGTGGTCCATCTAAAAATAATTGAAACTAACGGTCCAAATGTTTTTTTAATAGAATTACTATTTCTAAATTTCTAATTTTCTAAATTTATTTATTTTTTCATATTCATGATCTCCATTTTAGAGATTACATGTCTTAAAAAACAAGTCCAAAAATCCATCTCAAAAATAGATTTTTAAGAGGTGACTCATTTCTACATGGACACAAAAACCGTGTCAACATTTCTAGATTTATTCTAAGAACGTGTCAACTATCTAGATTTTGTGTGTGAACACGTCACATATACCAAACCAGTGTTACTGCAACAAATTGGAATTTCCTCAATGTTGCATGCCAATAAGGGTTAACACTGCCTAAAACGGTCATCATCATTATCATCATCAGCCTTTCACCAACTATTTGGGATCGGCTACACGAATCCTAGTCTGCCATTCTGCTCTATCAAGGGCCATACCCTCAGTGAGGCCATAAGTCCCCGTGTCTTTTCTCACCACTTCCAACCATGTCCTTTGGGCCTACCTCATGCCTTTTTTTAGCCTTCTACTTGAACCAACTCACACCTCCTAACAAGTGTTGTACTAGTCTGTGTTGCACATGGCCAGCCCACCTAAGTCTACTGTCTCTCATCTTATCACCTATTGAAGCTACACCTAAATTCTCCTGAATGTGTTCATTTCGAATTCTATCCCTGCTTGTCTTGCCACTCATCCATTTCAACATCCTCATTTCAGCGACACTCATCCTATGGATATGTTGTTTCTTAACTGCCCAACATTCCGTCCCATAAAATTACAACTCCTATAGAACTTCCCCTTCAGTTTCATTGACATGCGGCAATCACATAAACTCCAGTTGCACATCTCCACTTCGTTCACTCAACTCTAATTCTATCCGTGACATCTTCCTCAATCTCTCTATTTTCTTAGATTATCGACCCAAGATATTGAAAGTGCACTCTTTTTGGTATTTCTTGGTCATTGATCTTAACTACTTTCTCGTCTCTACTCTTATTATTACTAAACTTGTATTTAATATACTCTGTCTTAGTCCATCTATTTTCGTTCTTTAACTAATTTATCCCTAAATAAGTCTATGTTTTCATTTTTCTAAATTCTACCACCTAGCTCTTGGACACTTATTAATTTCATCCCTTCTTTTCCATCTCTTTATGCAGATGTCCATAACCACAAATCCATGTTGCGACACTGCCTAAAATGCTAAAACGGTAAGGTGTGCTAATATAAATACATCTTAAACCAAGCTCAAACTTGGGAATTAATTCATTCATGTCCATCAAAATATTATTATTTAAAGAATGAAAGCATTGTTTTTGCTAAATAGAAATAATTGTATGAACATGTCTGGGAAGTATTGAACACCTAGATACTTGTCGGACATTGACACTCATGTTGTTGCCTATGTGACACTGCTCCAAACATTTGTTAGCCACCGATACTAGTGAGTGTCCATGTAACATTGCCATCGCACTCAATAACCATAGGTCAATATTAAATCAATTATTTCTTCCATTATCATAATTCATCTGCATTGCAAGTGTAGTCGATCTCAAGAAATCATGGTTTAGATATCATAAAGAGAGGTAGACACAGTTTAAATCCTGATCAAAGAAAAAGGCATCCGTCGTGCGGATTTATCGTGTCTGATTGCATTTTACATGGCATAAAAAGAGCAGCGAGTGCAACATTAAACCACACAGGAAATTTGGAGAGTGTCTCATTATGTAAATGAGCTTAAACCTCATATCCAGTAGACAATTATATTAGACTGTGTTTCTCGTCCAAACTAGGAAAAGAACAGCAGTAATTCCCCTTTCTTTCCTTTAGCATTGATGCAAAAAGGTGATAAAAGAGCCTCCATGGTAGATGTCATGGTTTGTATAAAATTTTAACACAATTTGAAGTCAGAACTTCAAACCTCTATGCATTGCTCTCATTTTCACTTAATAAACAATCAAAACTTGCTTTAACAGACCTTCTTACAATCTTGACTATAAAGAAAGGCACTCAAACGTCTGATGCCTTTTGACCATTGCAATCTTACTGATTGTATCCCACCTGGGGTAGAGCCAGTACAATTCTCTCTCAATCGATAGAAATTACACACTGCATCCAATATTTAAAAAGAAGAAAGATTACAGAAATTGAAAACCAATCCATTCAAAACAAAAGTTGTATAGTTTTAAATAAATACATTTTGAATGGAATTTTCCAATGTGACAACTATGAAAAAAAAAAAAAGCAAACAAAAAAATACAGACTGTGCAGAGCATCTTACTTAGCTGGGCAACTTGACTTGACAACTAGTCCTTTTGTAAGCAATGTCTTCATGCTATTCCATCCACAATACCAATCTCTTGCTAAACCACCAAAACCTCCACCTTTCCCACTGCTATTTGGCAATCTGGAAACATGAAAGCCAAGGCTTACCCTATCAGTTGTTTTTCTCATAACCATAAAAACCACATTAATCGTAGACACAATATTCTAAAATTTTACCCAATTGGCATGTGTGTAAGCCCACTGGCTTCAGTTGCATCAATAAGCTCCTGTTTCTTCATAGAACTCCTCCCATTCAAACTTTCCCTGAAAACCCAGCTACCAATTAATTTTCTGTTGCTGATAACCTTTGTTGTTTTATTAACTATCATTTTTGGAAACCCCACTACCATTTAATTCCCTAGCAAACACACCTCAATAGCACTATTAATTTACTGTTCTTAAGAACCATACCTGTAAAGGGTAATCAATAAAGCAAAAGGAGCAGAGTTTTTCTGAGGCAAATATCGCTTGGTTCTTGTGCCTTTCTTCTCTGAAACATCAACATGACAAATAAATAAAAATGACGCTAAACCAAAAAAAATGCATCAATTATTTTATTAATTTGAAAATTACATTGAATAATCAATATAAAAAATTCAAAAAACTAAAGTGAAACAAATAGGAAGAAGGAATAAAGTTACTAGTTGCATTAGCATCGCTGTCTGATTCTAAAGGTTCAGAATCTTTATTGAAGAACTCTTGCAGGAGCTTAAGAGTCCACTTTCCAACACCCCTACAAAGAAAACTCAAAAAACAAAATTTCAGAGAGTTGGGTAAACGAAATTTTTCACGAAAAAAAGAAAAAAAAAGAAAGAAAAGAATAGTAGACATAAGGGGAAAATAGGCCTAAAAACTAGAAAACCCTATTAAGTAAGAGAGAGAGAGAGAGAGAGAGAGAGAGAGAGAGAGAGAGTACTAGTAG